TGCCTTGTCTGAATACCAAGCTTCCAGGAATTCCCTTGCATTTTTGGATTTAGCTTGGTCTCAGGTGCTGACAGTTTCCCAGTTGAAACTATAGTTGAATATGTCCCTGTGTTGTGAGATTAAAGAGTTTTCATCCTGTCTTCTGACTGCTAGTTGGTGTTCATGGATGCAGTCTGCTAGTCTTCTGCCTGTCTGTCCTACATAGTGCCTGTTACAGTCCTTACATTGTTATGTTGTAGATGACTCCTGTTTTTTCTTCTTGGGCTATGGGGTCTTTTGGTTTGCCTAAGATGTTTTGGAGGGCTTTAGTTGGTTTGTGTGGTATGGAGATGCCATGTGGTTGTAATAGTCTGTTGGTAGTTTCTGAGACATTTCTGATGTATGGCAGTGTGATCCTTTTCATAGCTTGTGTTGATTGTGTTGTAGTCGATTGAGTGGTCAGGTACTTTTCGATAAAGTTATGTAGATATCCATTTTGTTGGAAGATGTTGTACAGGTGGTCTGTTTCCTTTTTCTGCTGTTCTGGGTCGCTGCAATGTGTTTGTGCTCGTTTGAATAATGTTCTTACACAGCTCCTCTTGTGGGGGTTGGGTTGTTACTTTGGTAATGGAGTACTTGATTAGTGTGGGTTGTCTTCCGATAGACTTGGGTTTCTAATTTGTTGTTTCCTCTGCTGATGAGGATATCCAGGAAGGGTAGCGTGTTGTTTTCTTCCCCTCTGGTGAATTTTATTCCTTTGAAGGTGTTGTTGATGGTTTCATGTGTCTTCTCTAGTTGTTTCTTTTTTATTAGAACAAAGGTGTCATCTACATACCAGATACATACTTTGGTTGTATGTGTGGAAGTGCTAGAGTTTCTAGGCATTGCATTACAGTCTCTGCTATGAGTCCTGACAGTGGTGATCCCATGGGTGTGCCTCTGATTTGTTGGTATTTTTGTCCATCACACTGAAAATAAGTAGTGAGGCAGAGGTTGATGAAGTCCGTGACTCTGGGCATTTCGATCTGGGTGTATTTGATTAGGTCGGGTGTGTTGTGTAGTACTGCTGATATGGATTCTTTTGCTAGTTCTGGGTTTATGGATGTAAAGAGTGCTGTGACACTGAATGAGACTATGATTTCATCTTCATCTATGTGTACATCTTTGATTTTCTGGAGGCACTGTAGTGAGTTGATAGAATATTCTTTCTTCTCTGTGAGATGCCCAAGCTTTTTTGTCAGTTTCTTTTGCTATGTTGTATGTTGGAGTCCCTGGTAAAGATACAATTGGTCGGAGAGCTATATCAGGCTTGTGTATTTTTGGTCGTTCAGAGAAATGTGGGAGGATGGGTCCACTGCTTTTCATCCATCACTGTTCTTTTGTGATCTGGCCTTTCTTGGTTAGGTTGTTGAGGGTTCTCTTGATTAGGTTGTCTAGTTTCTGTATTGGGTTGGTGTTAAGTGGGATGTAGGTTTCTTTGTCCTCTAATAACTTTTTGGGTTTTTGCAAGTATTGTGATTTATCCATAATAATCGTGGTTCGGCCTTTGTCTGCTGGGAGGATGATGATGGTTTGATCCTTCCTTAGGCTTTTGAGGGCTGCTCTGTCCTCTCCTTTGAGTTGGTGCTGATACTGTGTTCTTCTGATCTGTGGTATGATTGACTGCCTTATGTTTTCTTGGGTCTCCGTGTTAAGTCCTGTAGTTTTAAATGCTGCTTCTAAGGCTGCACAGAATTCTAGCTGATTGGCATTGTCCACATTATACCATGCTTCATGAGAGTTTGTTTTATTTGGCATTAAATGCATGGGACATTCTGCAAGATTCTTCATGCTGAACATTTGTGAATCAGGCATAGGGAAAACATAATTTTATAATGCATTTTTCTTCAGTGGAGAAGTATGATCCATGTATTACCATATGCACAATTGTTTTACAGGTAGTGAAAAAGGCTGATCTGATCAATAAGAATATGGCACATCAGGTACAGGCAGAAAGAGATGCCTTGGCTCTCAGTAAAAGTCCTTTCATAGTACACTTATTCTATTCACTTCAATCTGCCAACAATGTCTACTTGGTGAGTAACCTACCTGCAGTATCTTAAGACAGATTCCAAAATATGTGTTTCAGACAGTTTTAGAAAGCCTTGTTTCTTTCAAGTATAGCTTAACTGTTGTTTCAACCTATGATTTATTTTTATAGTATTGTCCAATGTCTTTATCACTCTTTGTTTGAATATCAACCTCAGTTGCCAATTTTGCTCCAATATTTTAAAGCTGTATTGTAGCGAATATCTGGTTTTGCCTGTATCATGTTCTAACTTAGCCTTTTATAGCCATTTCTCAGATGCAGATCGTTCTAGAAAACTAATGAACATTTCTGAGTTTGGTATATGGACTGTATCACTTTTCCTCCCTCAATTGGTGCCCTTCAGATGTATTGGATTTTAGTTCATATAATTCTAAGTTAGATGTGTTGAAGCCACAATATATATGGATAGGAACTGAATGGGGTAATCTGAAATAAATTGTATCCTAAAGCCAGAGTTTTCTATTGGATAATCCATATAGATAGGGCTATCTCAGCAGACAGGGCCATCTCAAGACAAGTGGACAGAGCTATGATTTCTCTGGTTTTGCCCAGCTTTTGAGTGGCAAGGTTTTAAAGATTATTTGTTTTAGGCCTTGAAACATCAATAACACTTAACATGGTAGAAAAAGCATTGATGATTCTCAGTGTTTTGCCTCTGGAGTTTAGCAGGGCAATTGGAATGGGTTCTAGGATTATACAAAAGATTGGAGGGCCCATGTGGGCCACAGATTGCCTATCTCTGCTCTTAGCCAAATTAGTGTATGCATTTTACAAAGGTGTTTCTCATTGACAGGTAATGGAATATCTTATTGGTGGAGATGTTAAATCTCTTCTTCATATATATGGTTACTTTGATGAAGAAATGGCAGTGAAGTATATTTCTGAAGCAGCACTGGCTCTTGATTACCTTCACAGGCATGGGATAATCCATAGGTAAAAATCATGCTATGCAGTTCTAC